CCGAGACATTAACATAGTTAAGCGCATAAAAATTCAGCGGCTTCGCTGCTTTGGTTAGTTCGTGCGATTGGAAGAAAATGCTTCGACTAGAAAGGTATTTGGAAATTTGGAAAACGCTGTAGAAGACGTCCACATCTTCTCAGATGACCAATGATTTGGGGGCTCTCGGTACTAACAACTAGCGAAAGAAATCAACTGATTGGGCTAGATGGCAAAGGCTACTAGACGCAGCCAAGGACAATTCACGTATGTAATAATCAACTATGAATGTAGGATGCCGTGGATGAAAGAGTCTGGCTTATTGTAGGCTATATAAAATTTTCATTGTATGTTATTGTTTATAAGCAAAAAAAGCATGAACTGACAATACAAGGATGTGCATTGCAAAAGGCTCTTGTAGAGCCAGTTGTGAATGTAATTTTGTATGACGAGCAATAAATATAGAAGTATTGCAGCATATAAATATATTATAACACATAATAATCTTAACCATTATTATTACATTATCGCTAATAAGCATATATATAATAGATGTTTCTTAGACTGACTGTCTTTGACTAACTTCTTCTCATAAACATTATGGTTTAGGTATAATAGTAAATAGACATTATCTTTGATAAGAAGATAAGGAATAGATGTCAATTAGACTGACGGCAGTAATTATGTTGCATAACATTATGGCTTCGATATATTCTTTAGCAAATATTATTTTTATTAAGCAGCAATATAATGGAAACCTCTTAGGCTGGCGGCTGTTATTGCTGGCTTCTATTCTATTGCTTTTTATATCCCCTATTGTCTCAGCTGCAACCTACCAGATAAAAAAAAAATTATTTTCGATTTCTTGATTTTTGGAAGCAAAGAATAGCCACTCTAGATATATCACACCTGAATAATATTGTGTAGCTAGCGAAAACTAACACTAACGACCTGCAAAGTTTCTTTAACCAAACGGATAAGACTTAATTGACCTGTCTTAAAAAATCAAGATGTAGCAACATAATCGTACGAAAGGGATAATTGGATTATATCATCACTTCAGTCAACCCGCTAAGATAAGGGTACAGTACAGCACAAAAGTAAAAATGTAAATAATAAAAATGACCTGTGCTTTTGCATATTGAGTTAATTATAATTCATTTATTTTTATTATATTCGTTTTAAGATACAAAAAAAAAATATAAACGAATATGAAAACTTAGGAGTATAACCTACTTTATAGGAGAGTAGTTACAATATCTTTCACTTTTAATTGGTGAATCTTCAAACTTTCAATCGATATTTTCACTGCATCAAGCAAAAAAAAATATAAAAAAATCATTTTATACCATTTTAAATTTTTAATATTTTTTCTTTAATTTTCAAAATCTCGCCATTTCTTTTATCATATATTCATCATATATAATGAAATGTTTGGTTCTTTATTTGAAATTTAACGTTTATTACTTAATATTTAATACATATAATTAATTATATATTATATATTTTTATTTATTATTTAATAATTAAATTTAGTTTATTTTGTTTTTCATTTGTTTGTAAAGATATTTTTATAATATATTGTGCTATGTATATTAATACCTAATTATATATACAATTACTTGTTATATGCTCTTTGGCATAATTATAGAAATCTCTTATATGCAAATAACTCAATAGATCAACAACTTAAATACAGGAGATTAAGTATATTATTTATATAATATTCCTTTTCAATATAATATTTGTTAGAACATTTTTTTCTCTTAAACAATATTAATCAACTGTATGAATATATATGTAGTAAACATTTCATTTTTATAAAATTACAAATCAACTATTTTAATAATTCTAAGTTAATAATTATAATTATATTTTATAGTATATATAGTGTATATTCTAGTAGTATTAAAATATATTTACTATGTATGAAATTTTTTATAAAAAAACAATAGTCTTCCAATCAAAAAATTTGCTTATAAAATAAATTAAAAAAAAAATAAATTAAAAAAAACTTTTCATAAATATAAATATATATTATAAAATAATATACTCTCTCAATAGAGTAATTGCAGAATTAGTTAGAAAAAAATAAAAAAAAGGTCTTTGGCAGAGGGTGAATATTTATTTATTTAATTTTTCATAAATGAATTTTAAATAATTTTTTTTTCGAAAGATATACTTTTATTTAATAAAGATATTTTCATTTTGGAAAAAAAATTTCGGACCTTACGTTCGTGAATCCAGAAACTATATGTGGGCTGAAATTTACAATTTCCTTATTTATGAGTGACGAGTAGGAAGTAAAACAATGCTAAGACCATCAACCAGATTTATCAAGTTATGAATCGGCATTTGTGCCAAATCGTTTCCAAAACTATATAAACTCTTCAAAAAAGAAATCGATACTTATATCAGGATATTGCAGGTTACACTACAACCAACATAAACTAGAAGTAACCACAATCCTTAATCGCTTGTAGAATCTATAGCATTTTCAATAGAATTTATTTATTTAATCTGAGAATATTATCAAAAAATTTTAGAAATTTTTATACTAATATATTAATGATTAAGGGCTTTATTAGGTTGGATCTTATTTAACTGTTTAGAAGAGCAAATAAATCTGAGAACAATCTCAAAGAAACAGGTCATTACTAGTTTGAATTTCACTAGCTTGCTTAACCCAGAAGTGAATAAAAGCGGATAAATATCTCTGAAATTCAAGAACATTACTGAGTTGAATCTTAGTATGTAATTAGAAATACTCAATACAAACTAATTTTTTATCCAATAACTCGTAAAAGAGCTTTCAAAATTTTAGAAAATTAAAACATGAATAAAAATTATGATTAATTTTAGCAGAATGTTAGCTATTATCAACGTTTTACTTAAATATTTCAAAATTTCGTACTGCACTTAGTCTAGTTTTGTGAACAAATCTCTTCTACCATTTAAAAAAATAATAACGCTAAGTCATTGAAATGGTTCACATTGTGAAATGGGCTCCCTTATATGTAGAAACTACTATTTTCTAATAGAAATATCAACATCACAATAAACTCTTTCACTTCACTTGCACATACACACAGTACTCAGCTTAATCACATACAATATATATATAATAAACTTAAGTGTATGTACAAACAGCTTCACGTCCTATTACCTGACTAAAGCCTCAATAAATATATCATCCCTCAATGAATGTATTATTCTGTGTTTGCATATTAATTTATATGATAATAACATAAAAGTAAGCAATTGTTAACTTCTTATCCAACAGTTCTAAAAGCGGTAAAGAAAAGCAGAAACAGTCAATATACCAGTTAACAGCACTATCGTTCAAGTTTATTGTTTTGCTTTTCGTGTTTATGCTTGAAATGTATTTAAAATATAAATAAATTTGATAATTATATATAAAGTTATACTATAATAGTAATGTATATTATTGATAATAATTTTGGAAAGAAAACATACAGATGTCTGTACTGAGGCTCACATTAATGTTGTAAATACTCAAAGGACTTTGCATAGTAAACACATCTTTAAGTAAAACAATATACCAAGTGAAACTGATTTTATATTCCATAATACACCCTACTATACATATTCTGAAAAGCAAAAATTAGGTAATAGACTCCCATATATTTCTTACGTCTGCGTATCTTTCTTACCTATCTTAGTGATACGTGGTTGATAAAGCCTATGGAGCAATACATAAGAAGTGCTAAATATAAAATTTTCTTATGTTAGCTGAAGTATAGTACTACGATAGAAATTTTTCAACTCATTCTGCATGTTACAATAAAAATCGTACGACAGAGACCGAGGGGATATGACGTGGGCGTAATACGGTATTAGCTAAAGAAGATACGTAAACAAAGCTGATCAAATATTAGTCCATTTTAAATGTTGTTTAATGCAGTATATAATAAAACTTCATCATCGATCAATTTTGCAATAAATGCTAGAGATCCAAGTCAGATTAAATCTTATCCATTTTCTTTGAGGTAAAGATTTTATTAGTACTAAGTAGAATCATATGGAATGTTTAAAGTTGAAGTTTTTATTCTTGCTCAACTTTTTAGGTGGTCCTTTCATCTAGTATAGAAGTTATAAATTGTTATATATATTTGATGGATTTCTAAAGGATTAAATACTATATATGTATCAATTATTGAAGTGTATTAGAATAAATCATCACCCAATGCAAAAAAAGAAAAACACTATTAATTAAAATCAAAAAGAAATATTGTGTTAAAGAATGCTTTCAACTAAAAGCTTTAACTCATTACTTAGCTTCTCTTATCATTTTCTTAGCTAAGCATTTCCTTATAGATTTTTGTATAATAATTTTTCACTAACTAATATAAAAACTGTTAAGTTACTAATGTAAGTTATCCCTTTTTTTACTTAACTACTTACAAACAAAATTAGTAACGCGAAAAGGGCGGATGAGAACGCATCCTTTCAACTGTTACCTACACCGTGTGTATATATCTTACACATATATAAATATATATATAAATACATATATCCATAAATATGGCGCCCATATGCACTCTCCATATATTTAATATAATTTTAAACTTAAATTTTCTTTAATCTGCTATCTGCTATAATTTTGCTAAGTTTTTTTAGTTCCTAAATTACTTAAGTATTGCACATGCTCCCGACCAATTGCATCTATATATATTATATATTAGTTTTATTTATTTAATTTTAATATATTAATTTGATTTATTAGATTATATATTTTTACATTGCACTTACATATTTATTTTGTATTTTTATAAATTTCTTATATATTTGCTAAGTACATAAACCTTATGTATTGCATTTTAAAACTCATATTGTTGCTCTTTGTACGGATCCGTCAGGTTCTGTCGCTGAGATAAATCGTTGTTCGTTACCTGCTGAAGCCTCCAATAATGGGAAAAAGTCTGTTGATTCTGCTGTTGTTTCTGGGTATAGTAGCTGTGATTATAGGTGTGTGGATTTTGAAATGTTGATTGGAATGCTAATCCAGTCGTTGGCATAATTGTTGTTTTGGTGGTAAAATGTTGTGTTGGTGTAGATGTCGTGATTGGTGATGTAGGTTTCGTCATTGTGGTTGCTGCTGTAGCTGCAATTGTAGTCCATCTTGGAAGCTACACTAATAAACTCGGTGCTAACCATTCATCATCAGTAGCCAACTATAAATTATTATGTAAAATATATAATAAAAATTAAGAATCAAATTTTTTTTTTGTGTATTAAAAAAATACAGTTAAGTACTAGAAGAATATATAGTATTTACCTGTGGGCTAACTTGGAACTGCTGCATTGGATATGCTACTACACCAGCAGTTTGTGGTAAAGCACTACCGACACTTTGTGCAATTTGGGGAGCGGTGGTGCCAGCTAAGGGTGCTTGCTGAGGAACACCTTGCCAAGTACCCGGAATTTGCACACCCATTCTGAATACACAAATAAATCGGAATAAAGAGAGAAAAATAATACAAATATTTTTAAAAGGTTCGAATTCGATTTGAAAGGCATTTAAATTGCATACCCCATATATCCTTGCTGATATCCAGCGAATTGCCCATATGTAAAGCCTTGCATGCCTTGCAAAAATTGACCTGGCTGTATAGCACTTGGTGGAGCTGGTGCAGCAGCCGGAAAAGTTGGTGCTGGTGGATACCAGTAACCTGCAACTTGTTGTCCATAAGCTGCGGCAGCAGCTGCAGCTGCTGCTGCTGAGGTAAATGGGAATCCTTGGCTGAGTGCCTGGCCTGCAATAGCCGACATATGATTTGGATCGCCACTCTCCTTACCCCACGCACATTTGACAGGTTGTTGATTTATTTCCGTATTGTGGACGGCCACAATTGCATGTGTTGCTGCTTCCTTGGTGGAAAATCTGTAAGGATAAACAAGCGAAATATTAGTTAGCAATATCTTTTCAATTTCTTTCTTAATTTAAATTGCAATGAGATTCAATAGTAGCTTTATTACCCAGTAGCACAGCGGCGTATTATATAGGGGATATATCCCGAAAAGAAACGAGGATTGATGAATAATAAATTTGTAACTCCACTGTGTGAAAAATTAAGCGTTATCTCAAAACTAAGACTTTTTGAAATTTGTACTATAGTAAGATAAATAAAATGCAGTATTTACGCGGACAGGGAAGTACAGGGACAATGTATCAATTTCAAAATGATCCTCTCATTTAATTCTAAAACTTCCTAATAGCGCATTTTTATAAAGTAACTGATGTCAAGAAAGAGTTAATTGTTATTCCTTTAGACACAATTTTCTAATTTAAAGTAGGCAAGAACTTTTAGGGTATTGTTGGATATCAGTTAAAAGTATTCTATAATTATTTTGGACCCAGGGTGCTCCTAACGTAAACAGATACAAAGTTTTAGGCCATCAATTTTAGTAATTGTCTGTTAAGAATTCTTTGTAATAGAAGAGATTGGAAGTTTGATGTTATCAGATGTATAATTTTTTTAAACCCTTAGTGTTCTAATTTCAAAAAGGTTTAATCCAAAGAGGGATATCAGTTTAAGCCAATATTTGGCTATTATTCTCTTGGGGTGCTCCAAGGTTGAAGATGTTAGAAGTTAGTGGCATCAGTTGCAGCGGAAATCTGTTTAGAATTGTCTGTAAGTTTTTTACACCCAGAGTGTTCTAATTTGAAAGGGATTAGAAATTTAAAGAGAGGCATCAGTTGAGCAGATATCTACTAAATATTATCTATTATTCGCATAGAGTGCTCCAAGTTAAAAGAGGTTGGTAGTTTTAATTACCGCATAATCCTGTTTCGGATTGTCTGTAATTCTCTTAGAACCAGAGCGCTCTAAGTTGAAATTGTATTTAGACATTGTGTTTGTAATTGTATTTGTATATGTATATAGATATATATATGTGGACATTGTCAGATGGTATATGTTAATAAAACTACTTTAAGTCACGAAAGTAAATAGAATAAAATCTTTTTGCTGAACATAATTCCGAGATAGTAGTTTGAACAACTTTCTATTTGAGCACTCAAATCTGCAGAGTTTCGTAAAATATTATTTTACCATTCGCAAATGCACTGAAATCATAGCTTCGTCCATTAATTTAATTCTATCCGCATCTGTAAACTGCATAGTTAAATAATTGCGTTCCAATTAAAAGTAGCCGGTCTCTAGGAGCGTTGCATTTCGAGAAGCTTCCCGAATGTTCGCATATCAACTACAAAGTGTTTGCGAAGTAACATGAAACACACCGTAACATTTTCGCTTAAATTTTTTTTCAGTTGAGATCCACTTTTGTGTGTTTTATCCCAAATGACGTTATCATCATTAAGAGCTTTTATCGAAAGTAAAGAAGATACCGTGAATACGGAAAATTCAACTTTCACGCGATTGCATTGTATGGGTATAACCCTAAAATCTGAACAGAAGAGACCATTAAAACAGGGAAGCGTCCTTTTGTTTGCTAAATTACGTATGAAATGAGTACAAGTGTGTAAGTGCAAATGCATGTGTGCCAGTTTTTGGTAGATGTATGTTGGTAGATGCAGACACTGACATGGATACACACGGATATGTAACTATGGACTACGTATATAACTACGTAAGATAAATTCGTGAAACATACCGCAACAAGCACGTTAGCTAGTGGCAATAATAGTATCTGCATTACGAGTATCTCAACGCTGTCCTTGTGTATGAAACTTGTCAACGAGATAAACCATTTTATCGCGTTTTTGTCAACGGTGGTGTCCATGAAATTACTCCACACCATGTTGTCCACATCCAGTGGATAAAAGTGAGCATGGAAATGCAATGCATCATGCTCGTTGACAAAAACATGCTCGGCTCTAACAAAGCGGCTACATGCATAAATATTGCCAACCAGTACGACAAAAAAAGGACCAAAGTGAAAAGAAGCCAAAGGTACTGAGTAGTGCAGAAGGCAGCTAAACTGCGAAGCTGGGAAACTGGTGCGGAGGATTCCTGAGAGCTTAACGTAAAGTGGTGCAGTTTTGTGGTGTGTAAAATGGATTTTTCGGTTGACAACTGCAAGAAGTGCTTGCATTTACATTGTTGCGGTGCCATTTCATAAACACAAAAAATTAAAGTTCATAATAGAACAAACGAAAGTGCAGAACTAATATTTAATAAAATAAAAGCAGCGAAACAATTTACACAACCCAAGCAAATACTTTTCGCTTATTTTCTTTTTGAGAACGAATTTTGCATGGGGTGTGTGTTAAGTACTGCTTAGTTATATGGAAGGATGTATAAAGTTAAATCATTATTAGTTGAATTTCTGTGTTATATATACGTACATACACAGAACCATGTCAAGGACATTCATTAAGTGCTTAGGAACATTGAAAAGGTAAATAAATTCATGACGCTAGGCAAGCTCTTAAACTTTGACGTTTCGAAGCAAAATCTTCATTACCTGCTGAATAACATTTTCAGCAATTATAACCTTTAATATTAAAATTGCTATAGAATAAATAGTAATTAAGGAAAATATATCAAATATGTAATTTACAGCACAATATTTAAATTATTTTCGTTTCTAATTAATTAATTAACTATCGTTGTTATAAGTACATGAGAATTTTCATGTTGACGCATGTAGTATGGACAGACGGGTGTGATTCGTCATGTCGCTTCATCTAGTATTAGATATAAGAATAATAAAAATAGACGTTCCAATTTCGGGTTCCTAACAATAGCAGTGTAGTTGTATATTAAAACACTAATCTTTTTTCTTCAATCTTTTATCTACCATATATAACAGAAGACTACAAACTCCACTGAATTTTTATGTACTTTATCTAAAGTGGCAGATATGTTCAGTTAAGTACAAGTTCCAACTTGGAGCTAAATCAAAAATTAACTAGTAGAGTTTTCTGTATTAAGCTGAAAATGTGGTTTCTAGAAGTTCAAAGCACATAAGTGACTAAACTTCTATCTGTGGTTTTAGACCAGACTTAAGAAGGATTTGAACGCATTTATAGTGCGCTATTGCTCAAGTTAATATGTACCGTTCTATAAAACTGGTTCTATTAAAACCTACCTGAAGAAAAGATCTTCAGTTTTAAGTCGAGATCAAATAATAAACTTAGTTATAGTGTTTTCTAGAAGTTCCCTGCGCTAAGCATAGATTTTGGTAAACTTCAAGCTAAAAATGTGGTTTCCAAATTTTTAAACCACATTAGTGACTAAACTTCAACCAAATAATTAATATCGATGAAACTGAATTTATTATGTTTTCTCAGGTAGTTATGAAAATTATAGTAAAATATCATACCAGAACTGATAAGTAAATCTGTTGACTAGCACTATGATGTTAGCATAAAGTCGGTCAAATTAAATCAAGTGTCGTGTTATATCATAACTTAATAAAGCCTTAATCTTATACTAGAGTATTACAACAACAACTCATTTGTTGCTGAAGTGCAATAATACACCAGGAAATAACACTACTGATAAACTGATTAATTTCAAAGAAAATGGGAAAAGTGTAAGTCAGTGTCAAGTGTCAGAACATATGCCGTGTTATAGATGCAGAAATGTGAAAAATTATCCAATCTTTTTAAACATGAGTTCTTGTTTAGACCATCAATTTGGAGTTGGGGTAAATCCTTCACAGACGAACTGTAAAAAATTCACGAGAAGAAACTGAAGAAATTTAATTGAAGATCTTATTCGATTTAAGGTTATAGTACGCCTGTACTTTAACAGAAGCAGTAACTTTGCACCTATTCATCCAAATGTTATAGCAATTTTACAATATATCAGAGAGACACTTATTTTGCTTTACAATGTAATGGTCAAATGACAGTCCTACCATAAAGAGCCGTGTTTAAAAACTTCTGCTTACTTTAAAACCCACCCTTTATTTATATAGAAGTAATGGAACTACTACCAATCACTGGTAGACAAAATAAGTGAGATTGTCTTATGGCAATATACATCATTAGATCAAACATAATTGTTAATATGTCATGTCAAAACTCTTTAAATAAATGGGTGTAAGGAGGTATACAATATATATGAAAAGTCAGTGTGCTAATCATACAAGTCAAAATTGAAATAGCTGGAAATCAATTATAAATTGATTAGAAATTTATCAACTTTTATATAGAGTGATATAGAGATATATATGTACATACGGATTTTATTAAGATATACATATAGAGAGGTATCAATTCTTTATACAGAGTTTTTATCAACTTTTTTCATATCTTTATGTATGAACATAATTCTTGATATAGTCTAAATGGTCTCTAGTGCAAGGAACTAGAGAAGAATTAAGTTATATTGTAATTTCTTAGAAAAGAATATATTTTTCGACATGTTAGTCACATATAGACAGTATATTATTAAAAAATATAATTATATATTGTTAGTAATTCTATGTTAGGTTAGTAATAAAATTGCAGAAATGTAATGTGTAGACCCGGAACCGTTTTGTAGCTTAGGAGAACGTTATTTCACACATTCGAAATGAAGAGAAGTAACAAAGTAAGTTATACTCGGATAGTCTACCTGGGCTATTAAAACCGCAATCGCTTATACGGACTATCAACCTAATATCATTTAAAGTAAAAATTTAACAATCATTACAGAATTTCTGACAGGAAACTTTAGTTTAAATCATCACCTTGCAATAGTGGGAATCTTCTTTAATAGCACTTTATGATTTTATAGGAAAAAATGCGACCAGTTACTGTTGCATTATCAAAAAATTATACAGGTAGGCATCAAATAAAGGATGAGATAATAAAATCTTGTAATATAAGTTCAATACTATATTAGAACTAAGAAGGTGAACTTAGAGGAATATGTTGAATCTATGAAAGGAGCAAAATAGATTTCTAGATTTAATGTAAACTCACTTAATAGTAGAAGTGTTAGTAAACATAAACTTTATAATAGTAAATATATAATTATTATATTGTAAATGATACTAGAATAAATGAATTGATTGTTTTATGTAAACGAAAGAAAATGTTTCATTCATTCAACAAAGCCCATAGAATTGTTTTTATAAACATTTTGATCCTTTCTAAAATATTAGTTACTTACCGGACAAATGCATATCCCTTGTCCTTAAATACGCGTATTTCCTGTATAGTACCGTAAGGACCAAAGGTTTTCTGCAAGATATCCTCATTAAGAAAGCCAGAAAGCGCGCCATTGATTCCACCACAGTACACAGTACAATTGGTTGGACTGCTCTGATTGTAAACTTCATCAAAAGTTAGTGGCTTCGCATTTACTACAAAAATTAAATATAATATATTATAAAATTAATAAAAATTACAAATGGAAAATTAAGAGAAAACAATTTCTATATGTTGTAAAAAAAAGTATTATTCTTAAAAAGAACTTACTGTCGGGTTTTGTGGCTGGTGGTTTTCTTGTTGCCCAATTGGTTCGTATTGAACGGGATCCCAGCCACTGACCATTCATAGCATTTATAGCTGTTTCGGCTTCCTGCAATTAAAAATTAATTTGTTTTTTTAGATTATTTTAAAACACATTTAATTAAATTTCGAAATTGTTCAAAAAAGTTGTAGTTTTTTTTGTTTTTGTAAACAATTTTAAGCGGCTTTTGTAAATTTTCGTACACAAAATAAATCCTTTTTCAATAATCCTGTAAACATCTTAGCAACAGTTTGCAAAGAAAATAATTTAAGTCATTCTCTCTGTCTCTGGAAAATTATTTAAAAGCTAAACTATTCATGGCTGTCAGCGGTAATCCTTATGCAAACGCTTTGATTCGGGCAACAAATTGAGACTCCTTCTGTTTACATACCCACGCCGCTACTTGACAAGGCTTCCTTCTCCCCATCGTCAACTCTTCTTCTATCTTAAATGGTGTATAGTTAAAATGATTTCTCGATACTGTCAACTTTCGTCAGACAAGCAAATGTAACGGCAGTACTGGAGCCAACAGACAAGCAACAATATTAAAAACAACAAAAGGACATCCTACCAAGGAACAACAACAACAGTAAAATGACATCAGCAACTAAAATATAAATAAACAGTTGAAGGGATAAGGGAAAGTGTTGAAGGATGTGCGAAAGAAATGAAAAAAGTACTGATTTGTTGTTATTTTTTTTAGCCACAAAATCTGAGGATACAAAACCCTTAAGAAAAGAAAAGATATTGGTGTTAACAAATGGGTCGGTTCACCAAGTCAGTGATAGTTTTTTATTGATGGATAGACTTAGGTGTTGTGCAATTTCGTTGAGTTGAAAACAATATTCTCATCAGGTACGATAATATCTTTTAATTTATATCAATTTTTATCAAGACCTATAATACTAAAATACTTGTTGTTGGAATATCTATTCAAGTAGGACGATTCCGATTTACCAGGTATGCCGAATTGATAACAGATTTTATTAGAGTCAATTAAATAAATGCATGGGAGCATTATATGGTTTACAATTGGTAGAGAATAACCTTCATTGTGTCTGGGTATTGTCATTTGGCAATATACAGAGGGCATGGGTCTATATCCATGAAAATGGTTATAGGGCCATTATAGTGACAAAGCTCCGGTACGTAGATAACTGGGGGTTTGGACATAGAAATAAACAGATTCAAATCAAGTTTTCCAACGTACTATAAGTCAATTAAAAGATTGTCATTAACATGACCAACTTGCAAGACTAACCTATCTTCGTTGGGTGTTCTTTTGCAAAAAACTTATACACAAAGATTGTTTTGTGCATTCGATTCTAAAGTATAATATTGAAGTTGACGAACCGTGTTTTAATTTCCTTTAGTTTTAATTTCCTTCCTTTAGTAGTACTAATACTAATATTAATAATAATGATGATGACAGTTCTCAGTAAGAAGCTTGGGACTGGCGACGCGTTATGAGAAGTGTATTTTATAACTTATATTGGAAATACACCCAAGTTGATGAAACTCTAGCTAAAGTTAGCTTGTTCATTACTACAATATTTTAATTAATTATAATTGAAGAAAGCAACCATTTTAATCACTTTATGGCAACAAATATCAATAATAAAATAATAATAAAAATTAAATAATTATCTAAAAATATTATTTAAGTTCTCTAGATTTACTAATTTTGGGTTTACTATTTTTCGTTGTAATTATTTGCAGACCTAATTAAAACTATGAAAATTACAGTTTTTTATAAATGGAGCTTGGGGCATATTAAGCTATAAAAATTAATGGTTTTACAATTAAAAATTAAGTTGAAATTATATCCTTGACTTCAGAGGTTATAAGGTAAATAAAAATATTTGCTTTATATATTATATGTAAAAGTTTTGAGCTCTTGAGTTTATAGTTCAATGGTATGTGTTTTTGAAAAAAGTGCGTTGCCACACGCGATTTCTTTTATATTAAGATAATTATATATTATGTTTATATATACCTATGAATGCCTTTTCTATAGCTATTATTTGGGGTATACCTTTTATTATAGGTACATAGGTTTTATTTATTCGATGGTGTAGATAACCTTGAAGTAATGAGGAAATGTTTTTAAGAATTTATCTGTATGTATATTGTATACTTTCTACTTAATAATGATTATTGTAGAAAAGAATATGAGCGTGGATTTCCCTTCTTAGTAAATCTAATAAAAAAAAAGGCATTCAGTCTTCGGGTTGAGGGTTTAAATTTTTTAATATCTAATTGGACCAACTAAGATCAAAACAGCGGAGTTAGAAAAATTGTAACAGTATGACCTATAACTAAAAACCACAATCTGTTTCCTAAGATATTGTTAGTATAGTGACGTTGGTTAAATTATCTCGTTAAACACGTTGTCAATATCCTTAGTTTCATCTTACTGTAATGGAGCGAAAATAACTAAGGGAGGTGTAGTGCTTTTGAATAGTATTAAGGTTATAAGCCACCGATTAAAGAAATTGAAATCAACAATTTTAATTTTTTAGGCCGTGTGCGAGTTCGGGTAAACTGAGGGAAATAGTAAATTATGTCGGTATGACAACGATGTTGCTATTTACGAGAATTTCAAGTAGGGTAAATTAGGTGTCACCAAAAATAATAAATAAGTGCAATAAAAAATAAATAAATATTTAGATAAGTGAAAGAAATTTTAATTTACTTTACCTCAATATACTCGAATTCATACACGGCCTTAGTTGTTAAAACTTTAGTATTTTCTTTTTTGTATTATATTTTCTTGGAGTGGTTCCGAAAAGTAGTGAATTACAATAATAAAAATTCAATTAATTAAAAAATTTAAAAAAAAGAGAGAGGTTACTTTTCAAAACCTCTCTATTAAATACAATAGTTTCTATTAAGTAAAATAGTCACTACCAACATATTGACGTTAAAATCAAATTTAGTTATTTTCTTTTCTTAAAAAGCTCGTTAAGTTAAATAATGAAAAGTCATTGCTTCTGTTTTGACGGGATTAAAATTCTAACCCTAGTATTTGTAGTTCACTAATTATACAATAAATTGTAAAATCAATGAATATTTGGCAATGCTTGAAGATTATAGGTGCGGTATAAAATGATTCTGTCATGAGGAGAAGGAAACATCAGAACATATTCTATGCAACTTCCAACGGTAGACACGACTATCCTGAAAGCGGGATCTTTGCTCCAAATCAAATAGGTAAAATTAAGCCGACAGCATTCACGAAATTTATAAATAGTCCAGAATTCTTTTAGTTGGGCCTTTAGGTGCACAATTGATCTTTTAGGTCTTTTAGGTGTATTCATAGCCTATTATTAAATAATAATAAACCTTTTTATATGACTGTGCTTAATTGAAATAAACCTCATATCTCTGGGATATTTTTAAATATTAATACTTTTGTATATTTCCTTTGCATAGCAGAGATTTATCATAGGTCTTTAATATACTTATTAAACTAATTGGTAAAATTAAAATAATTAAATTAAACTGGGAATTGTAAATAGGATTAATAATTTATATAATTAGTTAATGCCAATTTTGAGGATTTATTACTTGTAATTAACAAAAATAATTAATAATAACTATATAATTAATAATGATTAATAGTGATGATAATCACTATCCTTTAATCCTTTATCCTGGATTTAAGTTGTTGGCAGCCCTGGAACCCTAACATAAGTTATTGGAGAATGAATAACCAAATTGCAATATTCTCGACTGTGGTGAGGGCAACAGAATTATAATTTCAATTTCACATAAAAGGTTATTCGTGCGAATCAAACGTGATTCATGTAAAAATGATTGCAACTGGCAGCTTTTCCTTCTGAGTTTACTCGGAGCGCACCAAATGCAATAATGGGAATTGGTTTTCTTTGGCGTAGGTGTTGCACATTGTGGCGAATATAAATTCATGAAAATATATTGTAAATTCACTTGTAATTCTTTTCGAGCACATTTCGTTACCAAAATGTCTGTCCAATTTGGTTTTCCTCTAACTGCAATATTTCGTTTGTTTTTTTTTCTCCTGTTTTTTATGAACTGCATAAATGCATTAAGCTAGTATGTGCTAAAATAGTACAAAATTTCAAAAATTAACCACATCATTGAAAATAATCCAAACATGTCTTAAAATAACATTAGACGCCCCACTTAGGTAATGCTAAGTGCTTTAATTTCAATTACTTTACTTATTACATTTTATTGGCTCATATATTTCGGTACTGAGAGTAACGTAAATAGCTGAGCTGAATTTCAAAAATGTATGCAGCGATGATTTCATTACCATTTTGAAATTGTAGCTTAAACCTCGGTTGGTACATTTTACATTAAACGACTTCCGTTTCCTTTAAACAACCAATTCAGCCTCATATCCATAGACATGCACTTCCGTTGCAGGCATACGCCTTTCAATTCCTTTGCTCGAAGTATTAATCCAATTTTTTTTCTCCTCGTTTTGTTTTGCATTACATCCTGTGCACCGGTATTTTGCTTTCAATATGATTTTCTGGTGGCTGCTTTATGACTTTTTCTTCCCTGCCAAGACCTATGAAGAGGATGAGTGCGGTAATAATCGACGTTTTTGCAGGGAATATTATTGGCACAATTATTGCTTTGGTTTTCAATGAACGCTCAACCATTGCAATTGACTTGGCAAAGAAATATTAAATCGCATAATTGAAAGCGTTTGTGCAAAGGTTAATACAAGTATCGAACTTAATTTATGTAATAAGTATTTGGAAAAATTACTGTAAACATTTCGAAATTACATTGAATTAAAAAGGGAGATTAAATTCAATTCAATCTCGACTCTGTTTGAATTGATAAGTAGAAATCTTAAACTAATAAAGTAATGCTTAACTAATTTTCTCAAATTCATCAGAGATGTGGGACTTTAACCCACTAAAAAAACCTCTTAGGTATAAATGGAATAATTACATACTACAGCGTGGAAACTTCATTCCGGAGATCAAGAGGTCTAGTATTTAGGAGTCTAGATTCATAAAGGTCAAAAAGTATGGACGTGGTAATAGTGGGAAGAAATTCATCTGAAA